TTTTTTTTTTACATTTTCAAAGTTTCGAATTATGTTATTATTAGAGAATAAAATATAAATTTAAAATGAGTTTTTAACGGATGAATTGTTTAGAAATAAAATTATTTTTAATTTTTTTTTACTTTTTCGTCACGGCGTGGGTTTTTTTGCCCCATTCGGGGCGGGACGGGCGCCATCACTACTTTTGGATGCCTTACGAAGCTATAAATTGAGACCGGTTAGCCACAGATAAATCAACCGAAAGTTTACTTTTATATCATATCATAACTTTATTTGCATAATAATTATCAACATGAAGAAATAAATTAAACGGGATAAACCACTTACATCTTGATATCCTACCGTGTTAGATCAAATAAATTTGAAAGGTAAAAATCAAAATCACGTTCCAAATCTTTATTTGCTATTTGTCTGTTGTATATATGTGTGTCAGTATATTAGGCGAAAATAGTAAAACCTCCTGTACGTTATTTAAGATGGGAAAGAAAAAGACAGATGACTTTTGGTAAAATAAAATAACAAGAGTTGAGTTAACCATACGAGAGTCTTCACCAAGAATATACTCTTCATCATTATCTTTTCAAGTCAAAATTTTACTTTATCTATATCAATCCATACACTTGGCAACTACCCTTTTTAAATTCAAGATATATATATATATATATATATGTTGGGTAAAATCTCTCAACCTTAATAACTTTGACTTTGTTTATCTGAATTAACTTTTTCTCTAGCTATACATGATTAAATACGAGCTAATCAACGAGTCAATATTGGTGTATTTATTATTGCTATGTCAAAATCTAATTATTTTATCCAAAATTATAATAATTTAATACATATATCACTTTAGTCTCCAAACTTTTCAAAATAATATGACTAGTATATAGAACAAGAAATTCTTTTCTATGAATTTTTTGGGGTTTTACAATCCACCTTCCTTAAATATTTTCATCCTCGAAAATTTACAATTAATCAAGAATTCTGGATACTTGGTTTTAGGCTACTCTTCCTTCTCCTAAGTTGACTCGTCAGGTTCATGATTTTGCCATTAAATTCGTTTTTTAATTGGTACACTTTTCAATCGAAAACCATTTTATTGAATTTTCTTCATATGATAAGTCTTTAGTACATCCAATGTCCTATAACCCACCACATGATTGAGATCATACAAATATTTTCTAAGTATCGAAACATGGAACTCCATGCAATTTGACTATCTTTTTTATATATAACCGTGCGAGCTGTTTCATACTGAAATTTACTTTGATTGGCATAAAATGGGCTCACTTTGTCAAACGATCATCGATTACCCAAATAACATTGTGACGTCGTGCTGATCTCGAAAAGCTTACCACAAAGTCCATTGCTATGTATTCTTATTTCCATTCAGGAATATCCAAAGGTTTCAGTAATCCTGATAGCCTTTGATATTCTGCCATGACCTGTTGACAACCAATACATTTATCGATAAACAGACCAGTTCCTCTCTTCATGTTTCTCCACCAAAATGTATCTTGGAGATCACGATACATTTTTATACTGCTTAGATGTGCAATATACAAGGTGCAGTGAGCCTGTTCGACTACTTCGTTCTTTATTTTCTCATGCTTAGGCACACACAATCTTCTTTTAAAAGTTAGCGCTTTATCTGAAGATTCTTCAAATCCTATATGTTTGTTTGTACCAATCTCAACCTTAATCTTTGCAGAAATTGATCTTTATTATGTGCTTCTTTGATTTGATCTCGAAGATTGTGTTAAATCATAAACGCTTTTATTTTCGCTGTAGTCTGAGTTGGTAGTGTAAGACTTCCAATCTCATTTTCTTAAAATCCTTTATCAAATATTTCTGCACCATGGGTAAAGCTACTAACTGCGATCTTGTCTTCCTGCTTAAGGCATTTGCGGTTACCTTAGTCTTCCCCAAATGGTAAAGAATTGTACAACCATCATCTTTCACTAACTCCAACCATCTCATCTGTCTCATATTCAGTTTTTTTCTATGTGAAGAAGTATTTGAAACACTTGTGAGTTGTATGGATTTCACACTTCCCACTGTAGAAATAATGATGTCGTATCTTTAAGGTGTGCACTACCACTACTAGTTCCAAGTCAAGCATTGAATAGTTTTGCTCGTATTGCTTTAACTGACTCGAGGCATAAGCAATCATCTTTCTATGTTGTATCAAAACACAACCCAAACCTTGTTTAGAAGCGTCACTGTAAATGACAAATCCATTAGAACCTTCGGGCACTGTCAATACAGGAGTTGAGACTAATCTTTGCTTGAGTTCCTAAAAACATTTTTTTGCACTTTTTCATCAACTGAAATTTCACATCCTTTTAGTCAATTGAGTTATCGGACCTGCTATTTTTTAGACAAATCTCTGATAATAGCCAGCCAATCCTAAAAAACTATGAACTTTTCCTACACTGGACTGTCTAGGCCAATTAGTTACTGCTTCTACTTAAATTGCGTCTACCTAATTCCTTGGGCGATAACCACGTGACCAAGGGAACCTACTCGATCATGCCAAAATTCGCACTTCTTGAATTTGGCATATGATTTCTCATTCCTCAAAGTTTCAAGTACTACTCGAAGTTATTCCTGATACTACTTCTTATCTTTAGAATGCACAAGTATGTCTTCAATAAATACTATGACGAATTGGTCTAAATACTGACAGAACACTCGATTTATGATATTCATAAATATAGCTAGAGCATTGGTCAAACCAAAAGGCCTGACAATGAATTTATAATTATAATGTCCATAATGAGTCCTAAAAGCATTTTTGGTGCATCTCTTGCCTTTACCTTCAGCTGATGCCACCCTAACCTCAAGTCGATAATTGAAAACACTATTGCACCCCTTAACTAGTCAAATAAATCTTCTATTCTTGGCGGTAGGTATCAGCTTTGATAGTTAGATGGTTCAATTCTGATAGTTAATGCACATCTTCCTTTTTCACAAAAAGTACTAGAGCGCCCCAAGAAGATACATTCGATCGAATGAAACTATTTTTCAACAACTCCTACAACTGTAACTTTAACTCTTGAAGCTTTCTGGTGCCATTCTGTACGAGGCCATGGTACTACTCTGGGGACCAAGTCAATTGTAAACTCCATATGTTTATCTTATAGAATGCCTGGTAAATCTTCTAGAAATACATTTGTAAAGTTTTGCGCAACGTTAATATCATTATCGATTGTTTTTATATATTTGAAACTGATGATATTAATTAAGAATTCTTGGCATGACTCATTTATCAACATCTTCTTACTTGTAAAGTCAAGACACATGGCAAGGTAGAGATTTGAACTTTGCTGTAAAGAAATGGAAATCTTTCCCTCTCATTTTATGAAATAAAACTTTATTCTCGTGACATCGAATGGTTGTATGATTGAGTCCCAACTAGCCCA